TTTTTAAGGGTAACAGAGTCATTTGTATTAATTATGAGATGTAGGGGCTCACGAAGTCTTGGTGTGATGCTATAGGATAAGCACTGGACTGCTAATTGCAAGGTCAGCAGCTCAAACCCACCAGCTACTCCTCAGGAACCCTGTACAGAGTCTGTATGAGTTGGAACCAGCTCAATAATACCTAACAACAACAGAGGCTCAGAACCTGTGTTTCAGTAGTAATTTCACTTCATTGCTGACCAAATCTTTAAACAAGGAGACATCATGTAGGGGAGGAAGGAAATAAAACTAGACAGAGCCAAAGGGACAAAGTTTTACTGTTCTTACATCCCCCCCCCCCCCCCCCCCCCCCCCCCCCCCCCCCCCCCCCCCCCCCCCCCCCCCCCCCCCCCCCCCCCCCCCCGATTTGCATGTGGCTATGACGATGAGCACGTTTCAACAGAGCTTCCAGACGAAGGCAGACAAGGACGAAAAACCTGGTGATCTACTTCTGAAAAATTCAGCCAATGAAAACCCCTGGATCACAACAGTCTGATCCCAGTGTGTCTGGGCTTGCCTTGAGTCGTGGAAATTGACTCCAAGGGAGTGGACAGTGTTGATGTTTAATGTGAACTGTCACATTTACTGTTCTCAGTTTTGTTGTTTAAAAGGGTATAGCTGACTAAACACTATTAGTCACTTGTAAATAGAATGATGGACACCAGTTGTTGGATGGTAAGACAACTCTTGGAAGATTTTTGTGTCGTATCTTTCCCTTTTCCAGAGCTTAATTTATATAATGTTGTTAAGTGCCATCAATCATTTTCATCTCATAGCAACCCTGTATAGGATTTCTGAGGAGTGGTTGGTGGGTTGAAACCAGTGACCTTGTGGTTGGCAGTCCAGTGCTTATTTTACAGTGTCATACCAGGACTCCAATCAGCATGTTGCTGCTGCTAGTGCTTGTGTCTGCCATCAAGCCAGTTCCTACTCACAGCGATCCTGTAAAGGATTTCCGAGGCTGTAAATATTTATGGGACCAAAAAGCCTCATCTTTCTTTCATGGAGTTTCTGGTGGATTCAATCTGCTGACTTTGTGCTTAGGAGCCCCATGCACAAGTCACAATGCTACTATTGCTGTTGTTATTAAGTGCTGTTGAGTTGGTTCCGACCCATAGTGACCCTGTACAGGGTTTCCGAGGTTGTAAATCTTTACGGGAGTAGAAAGCCTCATCTTTTTCCCGCGGAGCAGCTGGTAGTTTCAAACTGCTGACCTTGCAGTTCACAGCCTGATTCGTAACCACTATGCTACCAGAGCTCCTTCTAGAGCTCCTTAATTTACATCCTGTTGTTGTTGTTGTTAAGTGCCGTTGAGTCGGTTCCGACCCATAGCGACCCTGTACAGGGTTTCCGAGGGTGTAAATCTTTATGGGAGTAGAAAGCCTCATCTTTCTCTCACGGAGCAGCTGGTAGTTTCGAACCGCTGACCTTAAGGTTCGCAGCCCGATTCGTAACCACTACGCTACCAGAGCTTCTTAGTTGTAAATAACAATAAAAATAAGGATACCCTAGTACAAAACCTTGAACCTGAACGTGTAAGTGCCGTAAGTCAGTGCATTCCTGTAGTGCCACAAGAACAACAGGATTTTTGTTTTAGAAAATTCAGGTTATTAGGATTCCACTGACTGTCATATTAGGAGAAAGCACACCATGTTTATCACTGTCTTAGAGTGTCTGGATTCTCTAGAGAAGCAAAACCAGTGACATTTTTGTGTGTGTGAATGTGTGTGAATGTATGTATGTATGTATAGATAGATAGATAGATATAGAGAGAGATTGAGAGAGAGAAAGAGAGAGAAAGTGCCCTGTGGCGCTGTGGGTTAATGCATCAGACTGCAAAGCTGTTTAAACTGCAAGGTCGGTGGTTCAAGCTCACCAACTGCTCCTCAGAAACCCTATACAGGGTTGCTATGGGTCGGCAC